AACCTTGTGTTTTCCTATGCCTGTCTTTACTTTAATCTCCTAATCCCGTCATCTTCTTCGTAAACTGCGGAGAATGAATGTCACCTCAGGACCCTGTGAGTGTGTCAACTGCACAGATTGTTTGTAGAGCATGTGTGTTTGAACAATATGAAATCTGGGTATCTTAAAAAAGAATAGGATAACAGCGATGTTCAGGGAACATGAGAGGTAACTTTGAACTGGCCGCTGGCGAGCCAGATGGAACAGAGCTATATTTCTCCTCTTTCAAAAGCAAATAGGAGAAATATCACTGAATTCTTTTTCTCAGCAAGGAACATCCCTGAGAAAAAGAATGTGCCCTGAGGGTAGGCCTATGAACGGGCCCCCTTAGAAGTTCTTTTACGGTCGAAGCCGAAGGGATGAAATAAGCCCCGGCCTCCTGTAGCGCTCCCAGGCTTATTAGGACGAGGAAATTCCCACCTAATAAATTTTGGTCAGACAGGTTGCCTGCTCTCAAACCCTGCTTCCTGATAAGATGTTATCAATGACAATGTGTGCCCAAAACTTCATTAGCAATTTTAATTTCGCCCCATCTTGTGGTCCTGTGATCTCGCCCTGCCTCCACTTGCTTTGTCATATTTTATTACCTTGTGAAGCATGTGATCTCTGTGACCCACACCCTATTTGTGCACTCCTCCCCTTTTGAAAATTGCTAATAAAAACTTGTTGGTTTTTCAGCTTGGGGAACAGCACGGATCCTGCCGACATGTGATGTCTCCCCCGGACACCCAGCTTTAAATTTCTCTCTCTTGTGCTCTTTCCCTTTATTTATTCAACCCAGCCGAGACACTTAGGAAATAGAAAAGAACACACATTAAACATTGGGAGTGGGTTCTCCCGATACTGCACCAGCAGAGTCCTGGGTGACACGCTGTCTCCTGCCAGCGGCTCCTGGCTCCTGTTCTTTACAGGATGGAATTGAGAGGAACAGGGCTGAGGCCTCTCAGTGCTGTTTATCCATCTAGCTGTGGTCTTCCTAAGTATCTCTATCAACTGGAGGCTGAAGGACTGTGGCTTCTCTAACCAAAAGAGTCTAGTGGGTTAACAACTGTCAAGAGCAGTCAGTGGTTCTGCAATACAATCCTCAGCCAAGGATCCCAGATGTGTATAAGAGACAGGCCAAGGATCCCTCCTGTGTTACAGATGGATCAGCTAAAACAAACCAACACTGAAGATACAAAGAATGGGGGGAGGTTCATTGAAACCAGGGTAACACCTTTGGATGACTTAAACACAAAGATGACACTGACCTTGAGAAGGTATAGAAGCTCAGAGACATGCCGGCAAAATGAAATCCCTGAGGAACTTTGTAGCTACCCAGAGATATGTGGGTATATCTTTCAAATTACAATGTCTGACAGATCACTCCCGGCATGTGCTGCATAGTTATGTGAACGTGTCACACCTAACTTGGGTCCACTGTCTTCAGACTGAGCACAGGTTGCCACTGGCATGGTCTGAGAATAGGAATAGGGCCATGCCCACTGATCCATCCTATGTCTGGGCTTCCAAATGGAACTAGAGTTTCATTCAAGCCTACACGGGCCTATAGGTCCTGCCTGCAGCACTGACATCTCTCAGCTTAGTAAGGGCTGCTTAGTGTGGGAATATGACTCCCATCTGGAAGACCAGGTGGAGCCTTATCACTGTCAAAGTAAAAAACCTACTGTCCATGTCAAGGACCAAGCTGACGTGCTGTTCCTCAAGTGAGTAAAAGCCACTTGTGTAGTGCTGGAATGAGTCAGGTAATTCAAAGTAAGTTGAAGAAGTCGAATAACATCTATCCAATGAGTCCTGCGAGACTTCAGGCTCTTCCACTTTCATCAGCACGCCACTGAGCCTGGAAAAGGAGACAAAACTAAAGAAGCAGATAGGGAAAATCAGACACCACAGAGCCCCAACTAGATTTCAGGGGTAACATGAGGAAGTGGTTTAAAAAGAAAAAGGATAGATCCATTAATGAGGTAAAAAAAGAAATATTGCCTTTATGTTGGGATAGAACAGGGCCAGGTAGAAAACAATGAAAGAAAAAGACAGAGAGTGAGAGAGAGAGAAGCAGAGACAGAGACAGAGAGAGAAAGAGAGAGAAAGAGAGCTCAGTGAATTGGTCAGCTGACACACTGATAAGGGAGAAAAAGGACACTCTGAGTTGGTGCCCTCAAGACATACAGCAAACAGTGATCATGAAGAGTGAGCTCAATAGTTTTCCATAAAATGTGCTCAAAATTCGATGCAGTCACCATGAGAGTACAGCTTTTGAGGTATGGTCAACCTGTGATACGTTAGTAAATGATAAGGGGAGGAAGAAATGGAAACCTAAACGTCTACTGCAATGAAAACCAACGGCAATGTCAGTAGGAGGAATTCAGCCTTCGTTGAAAACATGAAATCAAACACACTCTGTTTTCCCTGGATCTGTCGTCTCCAGGTGTTAACACAGAACTAAGCATCCACAATTGCTGAAAGTTACCCGGGGCATGGTGGGTTTTGATCTTCTTCCCCTTCTTGGTACTTTTCAATTTCTGCAATAAATTCAGACACATGAAGCTGATTCTCCTACACACATACAATCCACTGTCTAATCCTCACACAGGGACCTCAGGTGCCTCGGCATGAGAAGAGGACACTTGTGAGAGATTGAAAGGACACAAAGATAGATGTGTACCCGCCCCCCCGCTACACCCTTTGTTCTGCTCTCTAATCTTTGCACATACCAGAGATTTCGTAAGTTCTGTGAGTACCTGTTCTTCTGCACGTACCAGAGATTTTGTTTTGCACATACCAGAGATTTCGTAAGTTCTGTGAGTACCTGTTTTTCTGCACGTACCAGAGATTTTGTAAGTTCTG